CGTCCATGTGGGACAGATGGACGAGTAGAGTCTCTCCGAAAACGAAATATTCGTGCTCTTGCCAGTCATCACCGGTCACCGCTTCCACCCCGCAGTCAACACAGCCCTTGATCTTAAGCACGGCCTCGACGAGATCGGGCCCCTGGAATGATGACGTCGCGTGAACAAACAAAGTCAGAATGACCAACTGGAAAAAACGTGCGCTCTCACGCTTTCTTGGAGGTTCGCAATATCTTCAAGCACTTGGCGTGCAGCCGCAATTTTTGTCCAGTTGCCATGTGACGTGAGTCCTTCCGACGTTGCTTGTGAAGCTTAAACAGGTCGAGCGGACCATGTATACATCTATTGTGCACTCCGTCTGCGCTAGTTGAATAATTAATAATGACCTTGACTCCATGTGCCTACCACGTACGATGTTCTAGAAGGTATCTCGTGCACCAGCAGTCACATCAATAACATGCGGTTCTTGTCTTTCCTTCTTCACGGTCTGGCGTGACCAACTATGTACCCTGGATGCCTTTGCGATATGGGAGTGGATGGCACAATGCCCCAACACAAAAAATCTAGCAGGTCGCACACGGACACAGGGCCACACCACATGCCCATGCCCAAGCAGCGGCACCCAAAAGGGGCGATGTTTACAATGCGACGCACGGTGCCGGCAATGAACTAAATACCCAACTCACCGGGACCAACGCTGTGACCCGCACACTCTTCAAGTGGACATACTCCTTGCCGCACTTGGGGCATACCGCCTCGAGACTCGCAATCTCGGCGTCCGCCTCCATTTTGCCACGCTCTCCATCTTCCGACAGGGCTGCAAGGACGTGGACCGGGTATTTGATGCTGCCGAACATCCTAAGCAGCTGTTCTACCTTTGCTACAAACCCCGGCGCATTACGCTTGTACTCCGCCGCCCCTGAACCGATGCCCTCATCGCCTGAATCTTCGTCGCTCCCGCCGTCTAAGTTGAGGGGGGAACTGCTTCCACAACCACTGCCCATGACACCCAACCCAACGATATGCGTATGCACGCATTTGCCGCTAGAGCCTTTCTTGGACGAGGTGCACCCCGTCCCCCCATTCGCCTATGATCATAGCCAAGTGACGGGCGCCAGGGGGTAGATAGTTGGTGGGACACAGGTTTGTTGCGTGAAAACAGTCAATGCTACGTGCTATGATGTACACCATCTTGAAAGCACCGAAAGTATCATTCGCTGCTACTTTGCCTTTCCGACCAGCTATCCTCAGGGGAAAATACTGTACGTCAGGTAAACCACGATATTTACCATCCGAGCTAGACAACACAGGCACCGATATTGCTGGCGTGGTTTGCACAACGAATTTCAAGGTTGGGGCGGGAAAACATACACAGCAGAAGCGCTCTAGAGCTCCGAATAAAAAATAGTCATGCATCGGCAGTAGTAGACTATCACCTTGCACTGGATCTGCTTCCTTTCAGTGGTCCGCCTTCTCGTTGATGGCGCTTTCTTCGAC